CGCGGAGTTCGGTAAACTGTCGGAGAGGAGGTTAATTAGCATCGAGGCGACGAGCGCAGCCCTAAATAGGTTGGTACGAGTTGACGCGTAAAGAGAGGGGAGGCGGGTGAAAGGCGGCGTTGGGACACAGTATAAGCGAATGAACGAAGGAGGGAAAAGCACGGTGGGCCGAGGTAGCGAGAGGGTGAGGATGATCCGAGACGAAGGCCCGATGAAGAAGATGGAGATTTAGCCTGCCCTAGGCTTCGCTGTAGCTAATGTTACTTTTTTACAAAAGCAAGTTGGCAGCCAGTTTGCTTTTGCACGCCCGCCTCGGCCGGCTAACCCTCCTCCAGTGGGCGGAGGTTCGACTGTGCAAAATGACTTAATGAACGGTATCTTCCGCTGCTGCTCTCTAATCATTCCAGCCACTTACTTCTTGCCGTCAGCCATTTACTTTCGCAACTGCCGCTTCTTGTTCTTCTTCTTCATCCTTCCTTTTTTTTCTCTCTCCTCCCGAGACGAGATTCGATAATTACAGGAAAATCTTGTCGGAACGCCTACGTGGATCCTAGTTAGAGGGCTGATCGCGTGCCGTTCCTCTTTCTCTTTCTTTTTCTCTATCTTTTCCTTCGGTATTCTTAGATTCAGCCGATAGCTCGAAACGGTGCTACATAGTACGAAAGACAGTCTACCCATCCTCATTAATGGTTGCACGGTTTAGAAACGTTACGGCTGGGTATCGTCGAATACCATCACGATCCCTGCCTCGGATCCTGGGAAACTCGGCTATCGTCACGTCGCTCGTTAAATGATTTTCAAAGGCAGATCTCAAAGATGTTGCGGCATTATTAGTGTACCCGCTTGATATTCGAAACTCCTCGTTGCCAGATAATTTTCCCATCGTTCCCAGTCTGCGTGGTATCGAGCAAAAATTCGAATCTCTTCCGGCGTTCAAATTCTACCGAGAGGATAAAAAGAACATCGCGGCGGACGTTTCTTCTCTAAATAAAACTACCCCCCCGTGTTTTTTTCCTCCGAAACGAGCAAGTGACGATATTGCGCGTCCGTTGCACACGCGTACAAATCTGCCAGACAACGAGATAGGAACATGCTCGGTAAATCTGTCTCGTTACGAGCCGTCGCTGTTTCGCTTGGCGAGATGGTATACAGTTGCAAATTGAAAGTCGGCCGTGGGCCAGGCATCTGCGAAAAAAATGCCACGGGACGATCGTCGGCAGAGGACAGACTCATAACTTATAAATTAGATTCGTGTCGTCGTCGTCGTCGTCGTCGTCGTCGTCGTCGTCGGCGTCGGGAAGCCTCGCGTTGACGCGTCCCCGTGTAGCCCCGGGTCGCTACGGTCCGTGCAAATATATTATGACGCCGTGGACTGCATTCTTTGCGAAATGCAATAACACCTCGCCTCACGTACATTCTCTTCGCCTTATTCTTCCTCTACGGATGCTCTCTCTTTCTCTTTGTTTATTTGTGTTCGCGTTCTACAGGGATGTTCAGGGGGTGCGCGCACACACAGACACAGACACACACACGAGCTTTTCGCACGGTAGCTGCAAACGCAGCGAGGGGAATGTATTAATATTGCATTCGAGACCATCTGGCGACACGGCGGGTTATTAAAATGTAAACTTCATTATCATTCCCCGTTGTAATTACATTTTTTTTCCCCTTTCGTTTTTCAGACGTTGTTTCTCCACCCTTTCTCCTCGTCGCACGTTTCGCGTCATGTCGGGTCCTTTCGATGAGACAGGAAGAAATGGAAATCGATGGAAATACCTTTCCTTCTGTTTTACGATCGTTTACATTTCATCGTCGCGAGGCTCGTAATTACCTCGGCTTTGATGACTAGTTCTCAATTAGAGGAATCTCGAGTAGTTTTATAGATACAGCTTTGAGAATATTTAAATTGAAAATATAAATAACCATGCCTAACAAGTTAAAGAGTAAATCTGATACAATTGCTGATTAAGAAAAAATGAAGTCCAACTCTATTACATCGTTACCGGTCTAATTGATCCTTAATACAAGAGGAGTCGAGAGGAAATTCTCAGCTCTTTCGGCTTCCCTTTGATTCCAATTATCACGTGGAATTGCTACGCGGCCGCGGTGGGTATTCTCTAGGAGGAATCACGAATTAATAGCGATCCCGGTCACACAAACGAACGTAATTACTTTTCTCTTTCCTCCGGCGAATATCTCTAGGTGGAAAATTACACGAAGCTTGCGTTTCTCGCTACCTTCTCTGGGTCAGGCCAGACTCGAAATTAACCACTTTTAGCGCGGCAGGCGAATTGTTGTTAATTAATTCAGGCAGAAAGCAGGGGAATATGGGGATCGGTGTCGGAGCAAACACGTTCGTCAACAAAGAGGCCGGCAATTAATTAACCAAAGTGGCCTCAGCTACCGGGCCGGGGTGGAGGGAGGCATTGTTGCTGCTCCTGTAGCCGGGCCATTGTTGGATGCAGGGCAGTTCGCGTCCACCTGAAACCGTGTCCTTGTTTCCACGTCCTTGCGCCAATACCAACTTCCTGGCCCCGGGTACCCTCGGCGACGGTCTTTCCACCGTTCCGTAAAGCATTGTTAACCGCGCATTGTAAGCGCCGCTATCAATTACCATTCGCGATTTATCGCCGTCGTAAAAGCGACGTTTTACGGGCTGGATGCTGACCGATTATCGGGACCGATCGATCGATCGTAAAAGGGCCAATTTGTGCCCAATTAACCGACCCGATTGCTCGATCCTCCGATTGTTACCAAACGGGCACTATTTTTTTCTTACGCTCCTACCATCGCACATTCATCGACGTTTATCGATTAATAAAATATTTTATAATGATCCTTTTACATTTACCGAATATACAGAGTTCGAACAAAAGCTTTGGGCCTCGAGTTTACAATCCCACGAGATTCGAGTCAAGGATTCGGCGGGTTTAACTTGGGCCCCGATTGTCGAACTGATTTTGGCCAAGGAACAGACGCACCCTGGAATAAATACGAATAAACGAGCCGGGACTCGCGTTATCCGCTTGCATAACGAACACGAGGCTGAACGCGGCGACGATAAAAGCTATCGTGCGCACGTTTTGCAAACAATAGCTTCGTCGCCTTCTTCGGCTGGTATGGCAGAAATTGCAACTGTGCCCGGCCAACAATACGGAAACTCAGTTTGCCAACTTTGTCTTCCAGTTAACTTCGTCCACGATCCAACCTTTCGTCGAAAACTACCCCTATCGCGACCGGTCGAAATCAAATTGTCCAGGCAACTGGATCGTCCGTTCGCTGTACTTTGCCTAACCAATTTTATCCACGATATTTAGATATCGAGTGACTCTCGTTTATTAACAATTGAATATCTACAGAACTGGTGATTCGTGGATCGAATCGATCGTAATTAACGTAATGTTATCGACAATTTCATTAGAAAGAAGTAAAGCGGTTAAAGAACGGTAAATCAAAAGGACGTTGCGAGGACGTTCTCTATGCATCCGACAGATTCAGTCGGACCGGTAACCGTTCAACATCCAATTCGAAATCCGGTCAACTGAAAAATTCATATCCGAGCTATTAACGATCCGGAAACTGAATATGTCATATTGGCCTTCTGCGTCACGCGTGAAACGCAGGACGGGAAACAAATCGAGTCGAATACAAATACACTCGTAAAATAAAAGGGAGACAGGGGTGTGTGTGTGTGTGTTCGATGTCGATCGTTTTGTATTCCTCGTACATCGCAAAGTGGACCGTGAACCATTCGTATTATTCGCGAAAATATCGTTGCCGACAGAAGAGATACTTATTTACGTTGCAGCTAATAATTTTGTTAATTGTCGCGCGACGAAGTGACGAGCGAGCGTGAATCACCCTCGAGTGTAAAGGGTTAATAGTGACGTCGTTTACGGCGCGATATTAATACTTTCGCGATGACTGGGCGTTTATTGTCACCCACCGAGCGTTTTCTACGCCCTCGAGAACACGAGGGTGCGATCGAACGATCGCAGCCGCAATAACAACGATCTTATTCGCGTGAAAAACATTCCAGTGTCTTAAGGTGATTTATTGCATTCAGGGAACAGGTATGTCGCTCCATTGATCGGTACCGATTTTCCATGGATAAAAATCGTTCGTTCCATTTTCCCGGGAGGTCGAAGGCGCGCCACCGTGGTTGCGATCGTCGTTATCTTAGCATACGATTCGCGCGGACAATCGGTGATCAAGCAGAGTCTCGAGTAAATATAACTGGCCTTCGAGCTATCCGAGCGAATAACAATAAGCTTCGATTACCGGTGACGAAACGGGATCTATGCTAATCGAGCAAACGTACCCGTGGATCGTGCGTAATAATTTCCGTTTCGCGGTTCGTTTTTGCCGGGGCACGATCAAAAACGATGCTGTTCGCTTAACCGGAACGCGATGAAACAACATTCTTTTTTAACGGCCTGTAAAATTCATTTCGAGCAGAATTTGTTTGCCGCTGTAACGTTTGCTGGGTCATTTGTTCTCGCGTAAAGTTGCGTTTCCCGCAAACTACCGAACCGAGAATTCAGCTGTATCTGTTTGTCCGTGAAAAGTTAAATTTCTTTTCGTATACAAACTTATGAAAATTCATTTCTTTTTTTTTTTAGCTTCGTCTAATCCACCGATCGATCTTCTGAAATATCCAATGTATCTATTTCCAGTAGATTTATAGGGAAAAGTTAGTTTCACCGACCGTTCGTCCCTCATTTAAAAAACATATCGATGTCTTTTCGACCTTTCACGAAAGAAAATCTTAAATTTTTCACCTGCTCTCGGAGTGTCGAGTATCCTTTAACCCATCTCAAGAATTTCATTTCGGCTACCCGTGTCCTACTTTGATCCCTTCTCAATTGTTCCACACGTTCCAGAGAAGTTAGCTCGCTACGCGATATTCTTTGAAAAACGTTTTCACAATGATTTTCCCTCGAGAAGAAACATTCTTGATTAACTCGTTTATCAATTAACGATAAATTGGTAGCATTAGCGCGAGCGTCGAGTCTGTTGCCGCGTGATCCACGTCGATAACAATAATCTCGGATTATCGTCGACAGAACGCCATCGGCGCTAATCGGCTGCGTACACGTAGCGAGAGTTTAAAACCGCCATGCAGAGGATTATGCATCATTTCTGGCTCTGTTCCCCGGATTCGATCCTCTTTTGCCCTGATTTCACTTTGTTCCAGGTCAAACCTATCGAACGACATCGGGTCAAGGTCGAGCCACGAAAGAGTTCTCTTTCGCTGCGACATTATATTTCGCGACGATTAGATTCCCTTTTCCAAGGCAGCGAATAAAGTTTATCTTTAACTCGAAATTGCGGTCCCTCGTCATCGATTCCGCGAATCGTGTTTTCGCCAAAGGAAGGCAACAACGATCGCATTCATCGTATCAAACGCACAGTGTCACTATGGTTCACCGCAACGATCGGTAGAAAGTGATTCCGTTGAAAATCGTCAACCGTTCATTGAGCGTCGAGGCCATTCTTTAACGCGTCGATTCATTCCGAGCCCGTTCACAATTCGCTGGTACTACACCTTTAGAATCGTCGTAGGTGCTCGTTTCAAAGATCATTTTACGGAATTCAGGTGAACTCGGGCACAGGAGCGTCGAGTTGTATTTCCGCTCCATGCTCCGAGGATTAAATGCAATTTGTAGGAAATCTGGTATAAATCTGACACACCGTTTCGTTCCTCTGTTTGAAAAAAAAAAAAAAAAAAATAATATATAGAAAACCGCGATCGCGATCGAAAAGGACGATAACGTGGCTCGAATTCAGACCGGAACACGATTAGTCGCGTTTGATTGACAGTCGATGGCGAACCGGTTTTCGATAAAGTCGCTAATGAAATTTCCTTTGAACTTTGTTAACCGCTTGGCCAACAGAGAACACGCGTTATGATTTATACAGTGGCCCTGTTTTTGCCCGGTACATATTCGCTGCGACATTAGTTAGCAAAGCGTAGAGAGGTGACGTTGCGCAAGCGTCAATTAAGAGGCTCGATGGTTGGAGAGCGATAAGCGGTGGATAGATCGATCGCACGATTTCTGCACTTGCATGTTCCGCTTTATTCGTATTTATAACGTTGCCCGTTCATTGTCGAGAACAATGGGCTTACCGGTTGGTCGTAGATGAAGGATCGAAAGGATCGTGGCTCGGGACACTTTGCGGTTCACTGAACGTCGCGCTTCGTCTTTGTCGCGTTCGGTAGCGAGGAACGTAGGATAAAGAAGAAGGAAATATCATTTCGACGATGAAAGTGTAGAGGGGAACAAATCGTTTCGTTGTTGCACCGATTTTTCGGAGTAATCTCGGTGTAATTGCGTCCACGATCGGTAGAACGAGAACCGAGCGAAACGGTTTTGCTTGTCGGACAGTTAAATGGCTCGGGTAATTTGAAATGAAACGTTTGCCAGAGGTGAAATTACGGAATCGAGTTGCATAATTCTGCCTCGTTAGAAACGATATCGTCAGGTGTTCAGGAAATTGAAGCATTGAACCTACTTTCAGAATTTTTCTACGCCAATTACAGCCAGTTAGAGAATATAAGCATTACTATGCAGCTATTCGAGACTCGAAACGACTAAAGAATTTCTTTCAGTCTCTTTTCAAATGAGCTTTAACTAAAATACAAAAAAAAAAGGACCTGCACACTATTTTATCGCTCATCAAGATATTTCAACGAATATGGGGCTCTTGCAATTTCCAATACCGCTTCGAGTACAATAGGACCTCCATTACCCCGCATTAACCCATTTTCCTTCCATCCTTCTCGTTCGATGACATTGCATTTGACATTTTTTTCCTCGCGTTCATTTCCGACTGGCGCACTGGCTTCTTATAGTTCACGCGTGTATCTCTATCGAAACGAGCGACTTTTTAAATTCCAACAGATTCGATTCGCCTCGATTTGCTCGCGACTCCATTTATCCGTCGATAAAAACGTCCAAGGTAAATAACAACCCGATAGATCGGAGGACTTAATCGGTCCGGCAAGAATGGACAGGTGGATGTTGGGAAATCGCCAACGACAAAAAGTGTTTATCGCGACCAGGGGGTCGAGGGGACGTTTATATCGACAACGCGATACTTCTCGCCGGGACCATTAGTGGGCAAGGTCGGAACGGCGCAAACACTCGTCGATAGCAAGAAAGCTCGCGAAACGGTATAATAGCGATCGAGAAAGGAGGATGATGGAAAAAAGCGTTGTACGAATGGGAAGGGTGGAGCAAGGATGGCGAGGGTGCGCTACGTCAAACTAAAGCGAAGGATGAGAGCGTTCGGTCAAGATAGGTGGGAGGGAAAAAAAAAGAGGAAAGAGGGTTATTTGCTGGATGCCGGTGCAACACCACCGAGCCGATATTAAACCCACATGATTTACAAGCGTGAAATTTGATTCGCTGGCGAGGAAACAACAGGCAATAATCAATTTCTCGGGCCAACAAAAGATATGGCGTTTCATTATAAATTATTGGCAGCCCGTAACCCAAGGCGGATACAACGCGGATCCGGCAGAAATGTTCCTCCCGATCCGCTTGCCGAACATGAATTGTGATATTCGCGATGGAAACCGCTCCTCGCGTGCGATCCGTTCCCTGCTACTTACGTCAATCCTCCTGCCAAATCGATTTCTTTACCAATCTATTCGACGATAACAGAATTTTTTCATTAAATTAATACCGCAACGACGCTCGCGTCTTCGCTAGAATCATTGATTCTAGTTAAACTGTGTCGCCGTAAAAGAAGGAAAGAAACGTCGAAAGCTTGTATGTAGACGCAGATAAAATGAAGAGAGGACAAAAAGGGGCATAGTTCGGTCCTCGAAGGTTGTCGGAAACACCTTTATAAGTGGGACTTTACACCGGGCCACTAAAGATAAGCCGAGAACCCGGTCGATGATGTATGTTTGAGAAATGCAAGCGGAGAGGAATTAAGATTTACAACGAACCGTATAACCATTGTAGCTGTTTCGGTCTCCCTTTCGAACACGCGCTTCAACTAGGCTGACAAGAATTTTAAGGAGAGATCCCATTCGACTTGCTCGGAACATAATAAAGCTCGTTTGCCCGTCGCGGTCGTAAATATTTATCGGTGGGGAAAAGAGTTACACAACGGGGAGAAAACGGTTTTATTTACTCTGTGGCAGCGCCAAGTTGCAAACGCGCCACGATTTACGGCCGTTCGCCACGATAATTCCTCCCCAACTATACCTTCTGACGAGCGCGAGAGATTTCGCTAACTATTATGCCACCCGTCGACCATAACGCACGCTTTTCTCCCTTGCAGAATCCTGCAACTTCTTCACGGGCAATCTCTTCGACGCACTTTTGTTAATATCGAACTTTTTCATCCCTCCTCGATCTTTTATAGCCACCAATTTATATCCGAAAAGCAATAACATCGTTGGAAGTGAATTTTTCTACGGTATCCACGATAATTTTCATCCCCTTCGACTTCTCTTAAACATCTCGCTCGATTAGCTTGTTAGAGCGAAAAGTTGAGGCAAGTTCCTCGAATCGGCGCGGCGAGAGGAAACGAAAAGCAGGGCGATCGTATCGGCGATAATCGGCGGAGGAAAATGCGAGGGAAACAAGGGGCGTGACGGTGTAAGCGTGCCAAGGTGATTCTCATTCCGTCCCGGGTTTCGCGTATGCGTCAGAAGAGAGACGAAATGGAAATGGATGGAGAACGCGGAGGTATATCGCAGGTAGAAGGTAGACGAGAGGGCCAGGGGATCGTGTCAGAGCAGGCTCGTTAAACGGGCTAAAGCGTTTACAGTGGCTGTGTTTCACCGGCCAGCAATGTGAAACAGTTACACAATTATCGAAAAACCATTAGGCCGGCATTGGCCGGTGACGGGGTGGCTCGTACGAGCGAGATGGTTCGAAGCTGATGCACCCGGATTAGAGAAAGATGCTACCATTTCCATCGGCGTTCTGGTAAGCAGACGAACCCGTGATTTATAACTCCGGCTCCTCGTAAATATACGCGCGACGATATATCTTTCGGACTTGTCGCGAGAGGGCAAGCGCGCTTTTCGAACCGAGACTTCCTTTTCTCTCGATTTTCTTTTATTTCCTATCCGCTTGTCTTGTCCCTTTCGCGGAGCCGATCGCGCGATGACTTACACGCCGGAACCGAACCGAACCGATCCGATCGAGTTTACGATCATCGTTAAATAAATCAATAGACTTCGAAGCTCTCGAAGCTGATCGAATCGACGATTATGCCCCTCTGTATCTCCTTTCTTTCGTTTGCACTTGGTAACTTTACATATTGGTTGCGTTATATTATCAAGAACTGTACCGTCGCGAGACTTCCTAATGGAAAGTTTTCCCTCGGCACGTAAAACACTAGCTGGTCCTTTTGCTTTTCCGTCTCGCTCCTCATCGGTTGGCGATCGAAAATCAAGGGAGAGGAAGGAAACTGGTGGCTTTCGCAATTTCACCAACGAGCAGATTGAAGGCGAGTAGCACGCGCTGCAACTTTCCCTCGGGGACTTCGTTGAAAGTTATTGCATCGCCGGGCAACATTATCAAATTGAATTTAGCCTGTTCACGAATACGAATAACGAGCTGCTTTCGTAATTTCTTCATATTCGCTTCCTTTGAATATTTAACGAGACATTAGTCGACCTCGTCAAATCGTTCGCGTTTAATTAACCGTTCGATGATATACATGATTTAAGAAAAAGAAGCGTGTCACAGACTTTGTTTTAAGCGAGTAAACTGATTCGAAACGTCTCTGATTCGGTCAGGAATCATCTGCGACTGGCAGCTTTTGTCGTAAAATTCCCTTTGTCTTTAACAAAGCTTCCTCTATTACAGTAGAGTGTGCATAGCCGATGACCGATTTTCGGAACTGACAAAGTCTCCTCTACAACCTTCAACTCTTCGTCTTCTTTGATCGTTAGAAGCGAGAAGCACGACGGCGTCTATTGGTCCGAGTGGCATGAGGATGATTGATGGCGAATCGCGAAGACTTCTTGTCCCCTGTTTGTTCTTCTTATCCAACTTCCTTCGCGATAGAAAGTTACTTGTCATTGGCGAACGAATTTCGGGAAGCAATTTAACGGTTAGCTTCTTCGAATCCGTTGTTCGATCGCTTCATGTATCCAGAACGATGACTAACCGGCGAGTTTTCCAGGCTTATCCGCGGAACGAGAGTTTCTCTTTCGAAAGGAAACTGACGGAGGATTCAATTCGACGCGAATTAACATTTTGTCGGTGTCGTCGGTGTCGTCGATTTCGCGGCGCGTGACGGGAATAAATGATGTTCCGCGTGAATTACAGGGAACGACGACTGTTTTTACGCGGATCGACGTAGCACCGGCGTACGAGCTGTCGGTAATTGACATTGTCATCGCCAGCGTGCTATCGGCTCGTCGTTTCAACGAAGAAACAGGGAGATAACGTCCGGAGACGTTGTTCCGAGCGAGGAGACGCGTGAAGCGTATCGGAAAGGTGGTAGATAAGGGAGAGTTAGAAAAAGGGTAAAAAATCGTGTTAATTCTATTTAAAAACAGCTATCTTAAATTGAAAGAACAATGCGTGATAATTGAAGAAAGAAAAACGTAGCCGTCGATATTAGCCGAGGATAATTTAATAAAAAGGGTATCGCTCGTCGATTAAAGAGGATCGTCGATGTAAAACGATGTTGCGTAAACGTTCGGTGTTATTTAACGCGAGTGTTGCGCAAGGTGGTTGTAAAAGACAATATCGCGGGAGAAGTTCGCAAAGCTTGTTATTTCTACGCAGTCTCACTGTATTTCCCTTCATTTGAAGTCGTTAGTGTCGAGCCATAAAACGCGCCACCGCATACCTGTACGCTGGCCACCCTATATACCTTCCTTAATCTCTTTTCCCGTTATCAGAGCTGCATATTTAATGCACTTAGAAACCTAGCTCTGTATTCATAACTTGCTGTTAGCGCTGATAGTGGCTGGTACAGGCCACGTAAAAAGCATTAGAAAGTTAAGAGAGGTACTAAAAGAGAGTTTCGACTACAACCGGCCCCGAAGGCTAACTTAAAATCATCATATTTTTTGCCAAACCTCGAACCATTAATCTTTGCCTACGAAAATAATCTTATTACTCCGCTACGGCTAACTTTGTTGCGACGAAAAAGCTTTCCTTCTTTTTCTTTTCATCCAAAGGAAGAATATTCCCTTCGCCAATTACACTTTTCTAGTTTAATATCGCTCCACGGTTGATGCTCGATAGAATTTAATAAATACCTACTTCCCTACGAATCGTAGCGAGGCTGGCAACTTACCGAACAACGTTAAAAGAACGAAAACGAAAAGGTACGCGTTGATTTTCCACGCTTCGCGAACTTCTAAGACGCTGCCTGTTATGGAATTTATGTTGTACTCCAACTCGTTAGACCGTATAAGGGTGCGGATAATTGATGCGCATTATAAACGAGACCTTGCTAACGTTACGCGTAATGACTTCATTCATCCTTTACGTAAAAACTTATCCTCGTTTCGTTGAATCTGAATGAGTGTCGCGCGATATGCCCGACAACGGACGACACGTGCTGCTTGCACCGTGTGTCGAGATGAGAATAGATCCCGTTGAAAAAGGGCGCGATGTAAATAAGAAACAAAGGCCAGCGTTGTTCGTGAAAGTAGGTGAAAATTGTCAACGCCTAGATACGTTGCGTTGGCGGAGAAAATAAAATAACAGAAGGGAATATCGAAGGGATGGACGAGCGTGGACTCTGGTGGATAATGAAATTCGTAACGGCTCGTCGTGCTGGAAACGAAACGGAATTCCGTAACACGTTCGCGCGACTGTATCTACGCGTAGAACTGTTTCAAGTTTTATCGAAACGTTGCAGGGTGGAAAAGTTTTCAAAACACTCGGCAGGCTGTTCCTAACGCGTCGAGGAAGGGACCGGGAGGAACTTCGATTACCAACTTCCAAAGTTCCCGAATGCAACATTTCCTCGCGATATTACCTGCGAAATTATCAGCCAAGATCGACACCTGCTGGTATATTGATTTTTTAACGTAACGTTTCCCTCGTTACACCGAAATCTCCTTTCATTCCGAAGTAGAACTGTCTACCGAGAGAACTGATTAAAAGTCACACTTTTGGGACTGGTGAATACGGTTTTCAAGCTTTAACCCAGATCTGGGGGGGAAAAAAGAACGTCGTTTTAATTATGACATCGAATGTTTTATCTGTCAGGGAGGGACTATTGTCGGAAAGTGGAAAAAGAAGGGCGAGGATTCTTTCGGAGAATCTATAGAAAAATTACCCTGAAATTCTATAAATTTCACATTTTTATAGACGTTACGCGGCCGAGCGATGAATTATAAGAGAGAGATCGAAATATATCTATAGCAGGTAAACTCGGTAAATTCATCAATTTCCAGGATGATTAACAGCGATAAAGTCGGTTCTTTGGAATCGTTCTCGCGGATTCACGTGCGAACGTAACTAAATCACCGATATTGCTTCCGATCGAACGGCTCCCGATGTACCGTGAATTAAAAAGCTTTAATTCCTCTTTGATCGAGCTTCGACGTTTCTTTTCTTCCTCTTCTCGCGCGTTGCTTTCGTTTGCCAGCGATCGGATAAAAACGAAGAAGAAAAAAGAAAATAAAGAAAGAGAAACGAGGGAAAGGTGGGAAAGAACGGGACGTTTGAAGCTCGCGATCCGAAAGACGGCGAAACGCGGGGGGGTGTTCGTGTGCGAACGGTTTGTTCGGTCAACTTAAAACTGATAGCTTGATATCCGTGCGGCTGGTTAGAGAGGGTAGAAAGACGAGAAAGCAGCTACATACTTTAAAGGTAGCACGCTCGATATTAATGGCCGTTTCCACGAGTGCAACGTAACCGGGCAGCCGGATCGCCATAATTTCGCGAAATTGCTCGCTCCCGGCACGTTTATAACGCCAACGACCACGTAACCCGAGACCACGTATCCCCCTCGTAGCTTCGCGATAAAGTTGAAACGATTAAAAATGAACGGTGACGACTTTATTTTCAGCCGTACGAAAGGCACCGCTCGTCAGGCAATTAGGAAAATTAGAATCGCATGCGAATTCGCGTCAATTCGAATCTCGTGCACCCTCTCCCCTAACGAGCCATCGTTTCGAAACGATTTCGTTTAAACTTATTATACCTCATTTCGCTGTTTAAGAATAACCGATACAATTATGACCGATTTAGATGGAGAATTTCAACAAGTTATCTTCGCTTCCGTTCATAAAGTGTACGTTTAGTATTGCTTTATAGGTAAATTATTGAAAAATTCAATTTGCGCGAAATGGGGGCTGCGGGATCGTTGCGAACAAAGTGGTCAAGGCAAAACATAGCCTCATTGTCTCCGACGGTGATGCATTGAAGCTAGGTAATTGTGCACTTTGTTGTCGTTATTAATAATTGAGAATGTTTATCGAACGTCGTAAACGAGGGAAGAGCATTAAATATTTGATATTGAAAAATAAAGTGGGATTTGAAAACTCGCCGGTTAGCTCTCGAAGCTAGGGAAACTCATCCTACCGGTTCTTTCAACGGGCTTTTGTAGCATTACAGCCAAAGGAATTATCATTATAGCAAAAGGATATTCAATTAACTTTCGTAATTCGCAGTAAAGCAGCTTAATTTGTTCTACGTTTAATAAAAGTCCATTTCCCGGCCGAGTAATTGGCGAATTAACGTGGCCTCACCGTGTACCCTGCGTCCTTTTTACTGCTGTTTCGACGTTTCATCAACATCGCGATTAATTTCATCACCGATTTAATATCCCATTAATCCGACGTACATCTTAATATTATCAGCTGCGGATGCTGAACGAACATTTCCATCCAACTGTTGAACAATTGAAAATTATTAAAGCGATGCTTTCAAACAGTATTCAAGAAGCGATTGTTCTTATTCCCGCTAATTGCTACGTTTTTCTCCTCGAATCGATCGAATTTAAG